TGGGCAATTAATTATATAGTTACCTCTTCAAAAAAGTAACTGAGTTTTGCAAACAAAGTTTTTTGCAGCTGTTTACCTAAAAGATAAAATAAATAAACATTGCCACACAAATTATTTGTGCCACTCCAAAAAATAATTTCTGTCCACTATGAGATAAAGGAGAACAACAGCCTGAAACCTGCAGGCCTGACAACAGGAGATGTATCACTCCTGTAACACCTGTAACATTCAGTAGTCGCCTCATTGTTCCGACACACACTACGAAACTATTGACTACACTACACACTAACTGCACAAGACAACACACTAACTTTAGACCCCACACATGCTACACATTGCAAATCTCTCCTAAAACTTTCCCCCTTCCTAAACATCTAAATGCCATGTTGCCATATCATTTTTTGATTGGTCCACATGGTACATTTTTGAACCAATAGGAAACGGGAGGGGAGGAGGAGTTTGAGTAGGGTTTTGTTTTTCCTCGCAGGCGGAGAGTGCTTTCGAGTGCTTTCCTTATAAAACGCCATTTTTACCGATTCTTCCCAGTAAATATAAACAAAGATATTATTCAGGAAAAACAAACAAACATTGCATATATTTTTTTAATCATAACTCTGGTTTTACGTGGCCTATCAACACAATTTAAAAACTGGTATAAAGTCCACACTTTTTCCGTCAATTGTCCTGATCACATCTCCAATGGTTGTACACGTTGTCATTAACGTGGCTTCACTCCACATCAGCCGCTTTGCTAGCTAAAACACCGGAGTGGGCACATAAAGACCTGTCATAGCCTGTCAACGATGTTGATTAGCTGTGTAGATATGAATGTGAATCGCATTATTGGCTGGACTATGGGATAAGGTGGCATCGTTCTGATCCCATACTGGAGCAGCCAGTCACTTACTAACACTGAAAACAGAATTGCTAACGTATTTATTTTAATTTCAATTCAGGTTAGATTTTTTTTTTTTGTGCTCAACGCAGATTTTCTGTGAGCAGAGACCGTGCCAGCAGTGCGTAATTGCGCACGCGCGCAGCTTGCAGGGGATATTGAGTATGAGTATAACAAACAACCATAAAATTTGAAGGTTTAAAGTGGTATGCATAAAGAGTTGCCAGTGCTTCACGAAGAAGTAAA